CATCCAAGTACACTTGTCTCCGTATAACATAGCAGCATAGGAGTAAATGATTTGCTTTCCATTTCAGTTAATAAGCACTTTCACATACAGACAACCTGGCAGTGAATCTCCTAGTCGGATGCAGCCAATGGCCTTGTTCATCCACAAGGGCCAGCTCTACCGTTAGACGGATGGAAGCGATCATCTCAGATGGAGGTTTCTGGGCATCGTTATAGCATGGCAGATCGTCTGGGTGTTTTAGATCTATGCATGTCTGTGGGTGTATGTCTGTGGCTTCCACTTCAGGCACCAAAATATTATAGGACTGGCCCCAGGAACGTGCTGTGATGGCGACACATTGGAAAGATTTGAAGAAGGGAAAAAACGGTTCTGTTATTTCTCTAGTTCTCCAAAAAGCACCATATTTTTTTATGAATCTGTAATGGCGGCATTCTGCATTCTAGAGACAAGCCATTAAGAAGAAAAAGACGCCTTTCCAGCCAAATGACATGACCACATTTGCTGTGGGAAACGCCAGGACAAGTCAACACGGCAGTGACGAAGTGGTTTGAACCTGGACTGCCACAACCCCCTGCGTGGACTCAGAATCCAGGCTCAGAAGTCGCCCACTCATGATGCAGAGCCCAGAGGGAACTGTGTCTCCTTCACTCAGGATCCTAGAACCCAGGATCCCATGCTAGGCCCACACAAAATGGGCTGGCAGTGGGCTGAAAGGTGGGCAAGGCGAGAGGTTTCCCACAAGGCCTGGCTGACTCACAGAATGCCTGGTCCAAAGATGCGGTGCACTGAGCTTAAATCTGACCCCTTGTGGGACAGGGGTCCACGACTACGGTCAGTGCTGCCTGCAGGGTGTGGGGGGCCCTTTGGCCAAACCCCAGTACGCTCCTCAGGGACGTATCTTCTCACCACCAGGGTCACCAGCCTCTGTCCCTCCTTGTCTCCCATCGGGGCTGCACTGCCCTCCTCCCCGACAGGTAGAAAGTCAGTAGGTAAGCGGGCCACGGCACTCCTGCCCCTCCTCCTCACCCCCACCGTGGCTTGCGCCAGGAAGGCGTGCAAGCCAACCACAGTTGTGGGGATGGCGTGAATCTGGGGGACTCTGGCTACCTTCCTCTACAACCTGTTGCCCCCCAAGCCTGCATGTGGGCTTCTTGGAGGTATCTAGGTGGCCACTGTGAGGAAGAGGATGAAGAAGCAGATGCCCCGTTGGACTGACTGGGCAGGGCGGTTATGCATTTTGGATTCTCCTTCGTTAACTGAAAGGTAATTGAGTTCCACAGCTTTCAAACAGGATTGATTGTGTAAGGCAGGCAAGTTCCAAGGCCCGTGTCTCCAGGAAGCACTTCCATGGTGGGGACGCGACATTTCCCCAGCACAAATCCAGCAACATTTTGGCTGCAGGATGAGTCCCCCAGCCCCAGGATCGCCACCTTTCCTAAACGAAAGCCCAGCAACAAAGGATTGGTCGAGTCCCGAGCCGCTGCTTTGGCTCGCTCCTCTCTAATGGGAACAATTTGAGTCCCATTGCCCTGCAATTACCCTCGGTTTTTAACCACCATGCTCCTTCCTTTCCTAATTTAGGGGAGATCAGACAGTCGGTCAGGCAGGGAGGAAACTTAGGCCGTGCCACGACATGCTCGCACTCTGTTTGAAGGAGAGCGAATCCAGTGGCTCAGAAATTCTGCCACCAATTGGGTGCTCCAGGGAAGTGACTGGGACCTGACGGAAGACCTAAGCGCTTGCCAGATGCAGGACGGCACGTCCGTCCAGGCAGCTCCTGCAACAGGGGCTTGGGATCCCCAAGGGAAAGGGCTCAGTGGCAAGAAATGGCAAAAGGAAGCAACTCGATGGATCAATGGGAAAGCTCCACAGCTCAGCTCAGCGCACCTGTTTTGGAGGCCAAGGTTCAGAGCCCAGTAGGGCCAGAGAAGACCTCCTGAAGCCGAGAAGAAGGGCTGCCGGCTGAAGTGGACCCAACGGAGCTTCATGGATCAAGGCTGACCCACTCGAAGGCAGCTTCCCATGTTCCTCTCAAGATGCCTCTGCTTGATTCCTTCCAGAGCTGCCTCTTTTCAGCTGCGACTTGAAGGACCTGCACTGGCTACCAGTTCACTACCAGAGCACCTTCTCCCTTACCCGTCTGCCCAGGCACTCAGGTCATTGGCTGGGATGCCCTTGGTGGTTCCACATGGGCCTGGCTGGAGTCCACCTTGAGAAGAAACTTCAGCGTGATGACTCCAGTTCTCTGGAATTCCCTGCCTCTGGGGGTCAGCAGGCCCCAACCCTGCGTTGCTCCCACGGTCCATAAGCCTCTTTATTTCAAGAAGCCTCTCTCGGATGACTCGCCATAATTTTTACGGATACACCATTTTACTGCTATCCTGATTTAAACATGCCATTAAAAAAAATCTGTGCTGAGCTTCTTTTCTTGTTCACTACTTGAGCATCTTTTTTGATGTTGAGTGGTATATAAATATTTCAAATTTAAAAATGAAAAACAAATGAACCATAATAGGGTTCTTCTCGTGCCTTCCAATGAGAGGCACAAACCTGAGGACATGGTGGGGCTTCCACGTGTGTTTATAGGTGAATGAAACAGAAAGGTGAACAGACAAGGAGGTGTTGCCATCTTTTCTACAAAAGGCGGTGGGTGGAGGGAGGGAGCAGGGCCCTCCCCTCCTCTCCCCTCCCCACCTTCCTGCTCCACACCTTTGCACTCTTGGCTGTTTTCTGCCTAAGCTCCAATATCAGAACCAGGGTGAAAGATTTCTAAAACAGCAGAGCCTGGGAGAGGAAGAAGGAAAGGACCTAATTTTGGTGCAAAAGGAAGACGCTTTCCCCTCCATCAAAGCCAGGTGGATGATAGGCACGAGGCGGGACACACAGTTGGCTTAGGCTGGCTTTCACAGCTAAGCTTGGCTTTGGGAGGGCCTGTGGCTTGGAGGCAGGCCAACTTCTTGGGTCGTGGCATCCCCAGGTAGGACTAGGAAAGAATCCTGCCTGGACACCTGGAGAGGCATTGCTGCTGCTCAGGGTCAACCATCCTGGGCTAGAAGAACGGCTTGTGTAGGCAGCTTCTTGTGTGACTAGAACTTCTCCTCTCCAATCCGAATGGGAGGTGGCATCTCGCTCTCTTCCAGGTGCAGGGCTCTGTCCCTGCTCCCACCTCCCTTCCTCCAGCAACTACACTGAGTCGTTCGGTCCCTACTCTTGTCTGCATCCAAGAAATGGGAACAGACCGTGATGGACCAGCTGAGCCAGATCTTAGTTGACACAGAAGCAATATAAGCAGGCGTATTCTTGGTGGTACGAGCCATTCCTTCAGGCCACCTCGCTTGACCTGCATTCAGGAGCCTTCTGTCAGGAAAGGGATGGCACCAAGGTGAGGAAGCGGTTTTCCCAAGAGCTGCAACCAGGTCACATGGTGTGGCAAAGCTGGATATGTCAGGAAAAGGGGCTTCCGTCCCTCACCTTCCCCCACTCTCTACTGGACCTCTAGCAACAGGATGGAGAGCATGTGGCCCTACAGAAGATGCTGGGTTGCAGTGCCCATCATGCCCCTTCATTGGCTAGGCTGGCTGGGGCTGATGGGAGTTCTATTCCAACATCATCTGGAAAGGCCAGATGGACAGTGCCTCTGGTCTCATATACACTGAGCCTGGGTGTGCAAATGCCTGGTTGAGCCCACTCCTTTGCACAATCCTGGAACCCCCGAGTTGCCCCATTGCACGCACGGTGGTCCCTCAGCTCACAAACGCCTCAGCTCACGGCCGAATCATGTCGCGAAAAGACACTTCAGAAAAATTTTGCCTCCGGTCGGGAACACCACTTCAGGTGAGAATCGTAAGCGCGCCCGTCTTCCCTGTCCGAGCGCAACCGCGATCGCACCCATCTATGGCCACGGTGCACTCAGGCAGGGAACACGGGCGCAATCGCAGTCATGCTGGGGGCGGGGAGATGGCCACAATTTTGTTGTTCTTTGTCACTTTGCTTCAAATTTTTGTGATTAACAAAATAGTTACAGAACGGATTAACCTTATTTCTATTGAATCTGATGGGGAAATTTGACTTGGCTCACGACCAATTTGGGTTGTGACCAGAGTCGTGGAATGGATTAAGTTTGTGAGCCAAGGTACCACTGTATACCCTACTTAGTGGAGCAGAGCAGAAGCCAGAACCTGCCTGGAAGAACCTCCCATTGAAATAAATAAAACTTCCTTCTAAACAAACAGGACTTGGGTTGGGAGTGAATGTGGTCAAAATCAAGCCCATCCTTATGGTCTGAGATGGCACTGGTAGCCAAGATCTACAAAAACAGGTGTGTGTGTGGGGGGCGGGGGCACACAGACCAGGGCAAATCTACTCTACAAGTTCACACCACCTTTTTTTCTCATTCAAATGCCATGGCTTCACCCAAAGGATCTTGGGAATTCTGGTCTGTTCAAGGTGCGGAGAATTCTCTGTTGGAGACCTCCGTCCAGAACTATGTCAACCCAAGCTTCCCTGGGGAGAAGGAACGACTTTGAACCTGGTTTGCGATGCAATGCTGGCTTAGTGACATCTTCTGCTCCTTGGTGCCCCCCAGATGCGTTTGACTACGGACCATGGGAAAGCTGGAGGTTGTACTCCAGTGCACGTGGAGGGCAAGAAATCGGGGGAGGTGGCTGCAGGCAGTAAGAAAGGCGAGGCCAATTCTCCCAGCCAATATGGCGAAAAATGCCCTGGTACAAGAAGACTTGTTTGGCTGCCTGCATTAGAAGGACATCAAAAGCACTGGTGAAGGGAGAAGGTGCCAAAAACAGCAGCTATAGAGAGATGTGATCAACGGAAGTAGGAAAAACCTCACCACCCCCCTCAAAAAACAACCAACCAACCAAAAAACTCTTGCTGTCCGAGCCAGCCCTAGATCACAAAAAGCACACCCTGGGGTTATCGACTTTCAGTCCTCTGTAGAGCACCAAAGCATGTTGGGAAGGCCCCCGTGCAACGGGATGTCCACTGCTGGTTATATCACATATCCCATTCTCCTTTTGGAAGCGCCACTGGCCAAAGTACATGCACAGGAACAAGGGGAAACAATGTACTTTCCACGCCGTGGTCCCATCCTCAGATCTCGGTGGACTCTATCCTCTCCAACCTGGACGGCGTCCACGTCTTCTTCTCGTCCGTGTGTGGCGGGCTGGTGACCTTGCTGTTGGCCATCTCGTTGACCTTGTGCTCCAGGATTTGGTTCTTCTGGTACATCTCCACATAGTTCAGCTGCAGCTGCTTCTGGTACTTGATGACCTTCTCCTTCTCCTCCTGCCACGTGCGGCGCTCCTCCTCGAAGTCCACGATCTGCTGCTCCCTTTGCTGGCGCTCTGCCTTCAGCTCCGCCTGGAGCCGCTCCACCTCCTTCTTCAGGGCACTGAGGTTCTCCTCGCTCTGCCGTTTCATCTTCGCCTCGTCGCTCTCGCAGGCCAAGGTGTCCCGTGCCAGCTTGTCCGACAGCTCAGCGCCGAAGTGGCTGTGGTGGCCCCCAAGGCTAGTCAAGGTCTGCTTCAGGTTGGAGACCTCCAGCTCACACTGGCCGAGTTTCTCCTGCAGCATCTGCACCTCGTTCATCTTCCGCTGCAGTTCGCTCTCGCAGATCTCCAGACTGACACTCTTGGTGCTGAAGGAGTCCTTCAGGGTCAAGATCTGCTCTTCCTTCTCCCTGAGGAAACTCTTGCCCTCCTTCAGCTGGGTCCGTAGCCCGACAATCTCGTTGAGCTTCTGTGAGACGTCGGCTTGGGAGTCCTTCAGCTGCTGCTTCAGTAGCGAGATCTCCCCTGCTTTCTGGCACACCTGGAAGAGAGGTGTGAGGCGACACCGTGAGGTGACACGAATGCTGGTCGGTTCAAGAGGCTGCATGAGAAACACAGAGCGACCCCAGATTTCTGTCCCCTACTCACCCAACCTGCAAGAAGGGGTATCTACCATCTCCTCTGTGGTTTAGTGCATAAGCCAGTGTGGGACCTGCTGGCACCAGGATGCCCAGGGAGCTCTCTCTCGCGGGCTGCCAGGCACCTTAACTTCTCCTACCTCATTTCTGGAAGTGACACTGGGACTCTGCCATGTGTACGACCCAGAGCTGTCCTCTGGTGCGCTTTAGCAAGGTCCAGCAGAGTGTGCATGTGTGTTTTGGCGCCCAGATTCCACCTCTGCCTTGTCATTCAGTCCATGGGCAAGGCATTTTGCTTCCAGTTTCACCCATTTGCTTCTTTTTGGGAAATGAGTATTTTCTGATTGGCCATGGCCCACTACGGCCTCTTTTGTGGATGTGCAAGCTCCCCCATGGCAGCCATTTTGTGAGAGCGCCCATGACACTTTCCCAAAATTCCAAACACGCCCACTGACCCAACAAATTTGGGGGCCCCTGGCACGAGGACAAGTAGGACGTGACATCCCGAGCACATCAATCGCCTACCTGAAGAGAGTTCTCGTTTCAGGTTTCCAGTGCTAAGTGCTAGGACTCTCCCTTACCTAAGACTGGCCGTATCGCTTGCACAGGATCACCCGTGCTCTCACCTCCCACTTGGTCTCCTCGATCTTGGGAAGAAACTCAGCCTGCTCTTTCTTGAAAGCAACAAATTTCTTCTCCAGCTCTTCCCGCTGCTGAAGGAGCTGTCCCACATCATCCTGCAGCTTCTTCTTCTCCTGCTGAAGCTTGAAGATCTGGAGCTGCAAAGCCTGCTGGGCTCTCTGGGCCTTTTTGGAGACCTGCTGCAGTTTATTGGCATAGTTTTGCCGGAGATCCTCCATCTCCCGTTCCCAGATCTTCTGCTTCTCCTCAAAGACCTGGTAAATGGCTGCCTCACTCTTGTCCAAATTCCTCCTCATCTGGAGGACCTCCTGCTCTTTCTCCCACAGCCTGTCCTCCAAATCTTGGATGATGTCATCTGTTGAAGGAGAGTGGAAAGGCATGGTTTCATTGAGATGGTTGAGTCTACTGAACGAGGATGTGCTCTTACTGGAAGACCGCCCACTGTCTGAGGTAGATATCCCGTTGTATCCCACTATGTTCTTGTCTGTGTAGGTCGTCCCAATGCGGTTTATGTGACTGGTTGACGCGCTCATCGGGCCAATGTGCTGGCTATAGCCTGTGCCGTAGGTTGGCAAGCTCGTCAAAGAGTTGCGGCCGGAATCAGAGAGGCCGCCAGCTGGGTTGGTAGTCCTGTTAAGGCTGGGCTTCTCGAGGCCGCTTTTGACAGTGGAAGGGCTATTGCTGTTGGCGTGGATCAGTGTCTTGCGGTTCTCTGATATTCCATTGTTCTGCGGTGGGCAAAGGTTCTGCATGGAATGGAAGTTTTTAGGAACTACTGGTTTAAAGGCTGACGGTCTAACTAAGGGCTCGTTGCTCTGCGAGGAGGAAAAGAAAAAGGGCAGCAGATGAAACAGTGCTGTAGATGTTCTCCTTGACCGTATCGCATGGCCCTCCCTTGCACAACAACCTCGTCCTGAATGCTGGATGCGTGGGTTGCTATAAATAACTTTTGCGGAGCCTCGCCAAGGTTTGTGCAGCCCAGTCTCCTGTTTCCAACAGCGACTAGCCAGATCTCTGTACACCGCATGTAATGGGCAGAAAGGCCACAGGCTCTCCCTGGTATTTGTCCCCAGCACAGGAGGAAATCCCATTTGGCTATCATAGCTGATTTGGCTTAATGGCTATCCCAAGGAAGGATGTGTGAGAACCCTGTTTTAAGGGGAGGAATCTGCCGGATTCCCTTGGCTTGGCCTCCTGGGCATCGGTCCTCTTTGATGCAGCTGTGAGGTCCACTTCCCGGTGAGCAGGGCTAGCGCTCCGGGGGCGTTTGCCAGGAATTAAGCCACAAGTGCCACGCAAGCTGCCCCCCCTTCCACACCACGTGCAGCAGCCTCTGTTTACAGCGCTGCACGTGACGTGGAAGACGGTTGCTGGTTCTGCGGCCTTAATTCCGCGAGCGTTCCCAGACTTCCTCTTCGGCTCAGCTCACATTCTGATGCTGGGCGTAGTATAAGAGGGAGTCTGAGAACACCTGAGGGGTGGAACCCACGGAGCGTCACCCCATCCCAAATGCCAAGCCACTGGAAGGAGTGTTGTATCTGATGGCCGATGCTATTCGCGGAGAAACAGTAAAAAAAACAAAACAAAAAAAACAACAACCCGGAGTCTGTGTTGGAAGTCTGCTGGAAAAGGTGGCAAAGACGCAGAAACAGGTTCCAGGGCAGCATTCCTCAACCTGAGGCCTTCTGGATGTGTTGAACTACACCCACCATCCTCCCCAGCCCACTGTGGTTGGATACATTCAGAAGGCACCAGGTTGCCATGCTGCGGGAGAGCGGGACGATACTGTCTGGGGGCTGCCAGGTGGTGAACTCATCAAGTGATCGCATGGTCTCCTTCGCTGGGCTCCCCGTGCCACTTGGCAGCCCCCCGACCTTTCCCACGGCTGCTCCCACCTGAACAGGACTCGTCTCCCGCAGGGCACCTGCTCCTCCCTGCTCCTGCTCCTCTTCCTCGTCGTGGCTCCCACTTGCGTCTGGCTAGGCAGAAAGGGCTTGCGCGTGTCTCCAGTGGCCCCCTCACTCCTCCTCTCTCACACTCTGGTCCAGGCTTGAAGAGGCAGGTGAATTATCAGGTTGCAACGGAGAAGAAGTGGAGCAAGCCCAGCGTCTTGCTAGTGGGCCCCTACAGGGATCTGGGCCCCCAGAAACTGCCCAAGCATGCTTACCTTTGACGCTAGCCATGAACTTGGCCTTCCCCAACCTGTTGCTCTCCAAATGTTTCACTTCTATCTCCGTTTCCACCAACACATATGTGAAGTTGGGAATTTTTGGTCCACCTTAGATCACTTTACACTTGTGCGCACTGAACAGCATTCGCCATTTTGACCCCCACTCTCCCACTTGGGCGAGATCTTTTTGGAACTCCTCCCAGCCCCTTTTGTTTGTAGCCACCCTAAATAATTTGGTGTCGTTGGCAAACTTGGCCACTTCACCGCCCACTTCTTATTCTAGATGATTTATGAACAAGTTGAAAGCAGCAGCCCCAATCTAGAACCTGTAGGATCCTAACACCCCTCAATAGTAAGACTTGATTCCCACGTTTTGCTTTCTGCTCTTCGAACAATTACTGATCCACAAGAGAACATAGAATCAGAGTGAGTCACACGGGGTCTCCCGGGCCATCTAGTCTGACCCCCGGTTCTAGCTGGCTCCACTCATGACATGCCCACCATGTGCATGTCCAGCTTATCCTTGCATAACCCATGATTGCTACTTTTGCTCAGCAGTTTTTGGTAAGGTGACATGTGAAAAACCATTTGGAAGTTCAAGAGAACTCTGTCTACTGGATCACCCCTGTCCACATGTTTATTGACATTTTGAAAGAACTGCAAAAGCTTAGTGAGGCAGCCTTTCCCTTTGTGCAAGCCATGCTGATCCTTCCTCAGCAGGGCTTTTCCTGCCATCTGTCTACAATTCTTATCTTACATTAGGCTTTCAGTCCGATTACTGTGACTCTCCTTGTGCCTGCATGATAGCAAGCCACTCTGAGGCTGCCGAGTGGGCTGCAGAGCAGCACAGTTTGTCTCCCTGGACTCCAGCTTTGCTGCACCCTATGGATCGGTGAGGAACTCTGGGGTGGAAATCCCTTGGATTCCCTGGGCTCCCCAGCCTCCGGCCACAAGTCCAACCTTCCTGTGGCGGCGAGTCCACCTTTCTGGCAAGAGTCACCCTGCTTCTGCCCCCACGACCTGCAGCCTTTGCCTGTGACACAAAAGAAGGTTGCCGGTCGTGCCGCTGGAGTTCCATCCGCAATTGCGACGTTCCTCTCTGCTCAGCTCAGCTCCAATGCTAAGACAGGGTCGAGCACGAGAGGCAATCTGTGCCCCGAAGGGGGGCAGATTCTGCGGAGCTGGGTCACAACATCACTGCAGCTGCACATGGAGCAGCCTCTCCCCTTAGGAAAATCCTGGCCCCTCGTCACTTCTGGGACTCTGCACAAAGAACTGCCTGACTCTGTCCGTGCCTGCTTGGCTCTTAGGCTCTACACCGCTCAGCCATTACCCTCCCTGCCTGCCCAGGCTGCTGCATCCACCTGACCGCGTTATCCGTTTGCGTTCTCTCTATCGGAGCAATCTGCCTGCATGCCATTTCTGTGGTCCACATCCCGTTCCCTGCCACTGAGATGCTGCAGAAGAGAAAGCAAAGGCCACGCGGTTCACCGGCTTCTGGTGGGGGTCAGACGCAGCTCCCGGTTGCTCCCCACCGTCCCTTCCGTCTCATTTCCATACCCCTTGTGCAGACGCCTTGGCTGAATCCTAGCAGGCTTGAGTGCTACCGGAACCTCCCGCACAGCCTTCCTGCCCAGGTGCTCCACCCCTGTGGGGCGGTCTTCCAACCCTGGCGCCACTTGCTTCCCCTGCCTCCTATGTGTCCTGGCAGTGACACCCACCCTCCTTTAGCCCCCAGGGACCAAGCTGCATTCTGCCTCTTCCCAAAGACAAGCAGTAGCCTGCCCCCTTGACGCCCCTGGCAGGTTTGGAGGTTGCCTTTCCCAGCCTGGGTAACCTCCAAGCCTCCAGAGCAAGCACTCCCAGGTGCCTCTGCTGGCATGAGGCTGGAGCTCAACACAGGTTGAGGCACAACCTGAAGGGAACCAGGTGGTCCAAACAAACATAGAATCCTAGCAGAGGAAGGGTCCAGGGGACCACTGGGTCCCACCCCCTCCTCCAGGTTCAAGCATCCCTCCAAGTTAGACCAAAAATGAGCTTCCAGTTCAGGTCCCCTCCCCTCGGGCTTCTCCTCCGCCAATTCCTTCCTGCTCCTCTTCACGCGCTCACTTCCGCATGGGTGATGCTTTCCGACCGAGGCGGGTGGAGGCGCATCCTCTGAGGACCAACTCACCTGGTCTAGTTTCCCAGAGACTGGCAATATCTTTGGTGGGTTACTGGGGTCTCTGTACTGGGGAGGGGGCGGCATGTTATTTTCATTGTTGGCCGCCACATTCCCGCAGAGGTCCGTCTTTACTTTCTCGCTCTTGCGCAGGTCCCCATTGATGTATATGGAGTTGGAGATCTTCTCCGACTTGTAAGTCTTCTCCTCCCCAGAGTAGCGGTTGGAGATCTCCCGCGTGGAGTAGTTATTCCGGGACCCGTCCGCCTGCCGGCTGCTGTTCTGCGTTCTGGTGCCCACGCTCTTCATGGCGAACTCCTGTTCGTTGGCGACGCCACTGCCCACGCTGCCCATGGCGCCTTGGGCGGAAGGGTCCGAGCGCCTGGGCTCAAAGGAGTGGAACGTCTCCTGGCTGTGGTAGCTGGGGTCACTCAGGACGGGGAGGGTCTCCAATTTGGCCATGGCAAGGTGTGGAGGGTGAGGCACAGGTCAGTGGCACTGGAAGGGAACGGCAAGCAGAAAGAAGCATTAGCAGCAGACCGTGGGCCCCTAATCCCAAGGTGGCCACGGGCGGAAGGGACGCCCGAACTGCAGGAGGTGAAGACCGGAAGATGCGGATACCCCAGGGAACGACTGCCTCCTCTGACACTGGCTCTGCGAAAGTAAGAAGGCCGCCTGCTGGTCGACACTTCACCATGTAAGAAGGCGCACCGCTGGCAGGAGGATCCCTTTCTGCTCTCCTGCTAAGTGAGAGCCTCGCTGGCGCCGGGAAGCGCTTGGGACTTTTAGCAAGCCGGGCGTGTGTCCCACCATCACAGGGAAAAGCACAGCGGAGGAGCACCAGCTTCGTATGGAACCGTGGGGCGTGGCTGCCAGTCTGTGTCGACAGCAGTGAGCGAGGCGGACCGTGGGCTCGGCACCTTCCTCTGTTTCTGGCCTTTTCAGGTGGAGACCCCGGGAATGACCCCGAAGCCACCTGCATGCGCATCACACACTGCCCTCGATGCCATGGCCTCCTGCTCTTTGTGCCAATTCCACTGGCCCTGATCGGGAGGGAAAGCTTACAGTGGCGAGGGCAGAGGCTGGGCAGGCCCCAGGATAAATCCTGCGTCCTCCACCCCGCACCTCCGGGCACATCCCGTTTGCCTCAGCTCCACGGTCACTTCTGCAGCCTTGCACAGCTGTGGCGCCAGGCTCTGAAAATGCCCAGGGACGCCTCCGCAGAAACAGCAGGAGCGCACAGGACTGCGCTTGTGAGCAGCATCAAAACCCAGAAGATCTGGTGCTTGGCCTCTGACAGTTAAGCTCCTGTCCCACCAGCCGTGCAGCCAGTGTGGAAAGAGCCATGCTCAGCGCTTCTCTGGGTGTGAAATGCACTCTGGAGAGAGGAAACGAGATTTATTTATTTATTGTATTTACAGCCCACCGTTTTTCTTTCCAAGGAGCTCAGGCAGCTCACACAAGTCTCCTCCTCCGCTCCATCTTATCCCCACAACACAAACCCTGCAGCTGTTTGCAAACAAGCCCACAAGTGCTCCACCTGCTCCCCTTCTCTTGCGCTGCTGACACAAACAAGGAAATCGACCGGGCAAGGTGACGGATTTCATCAGAAGAACCTGCACGAACACCACCTGAGATCAAAACCTTCCACCAGCAACTCACAGTTGCATAATTTCCACTGGCCAAAGAATTAAAAGCACACCTGCAACACACAAAAAATTAAAAATACACCTGGGCGGTTTGGAGGGTCAGAAACACCCCTGCACCAAAATGGTATTGAATGATAAGGGCGAGGGTTGGGAAAAGAAGCATGCTGCGGTCCGCTGAAGCCGGCCGGGGGACCGAGGGGCCGGGGAGGGAGCGACCCATAGCAAGTCCAAACATATCGCAGCTTGTTCAGTGAACCAGCCAACCATGGCGTATCCACACAGGGGCTCAGCGGGATGTGTGAACCTGCAGATTTTCTCAGGAGACATTCCGCTAGCTTTCACGGCCATCCAGAGAAAATGCCAGAGAACATTCCAGGAAACATTTCAGTTTCCCCACTGCAATCAGATTGGGACATTTTGAATGGCCGCTTCTGAAAAGCTGTAAATTAGACCTCCAGGCCAGATGCGTTCAGTGGGGTAGTGGTGCCCGGGCTCAAAAAACAGGGTGCTAGCACTCTCTGGAGTGGACATCTCTCCCGAAGCAACTGCCTCCATCATTATTTACTCATTTATCTGGCCAGGGCGACTTCTTTTCTTTTATAACTTCTGTTATATCTTTTATATTTTTTACTTATTTTATATTGTTATTTTTGTATTGTATTGTATTTGATTGTGTTGTAAGCCGCCCCGAGGCTTCGGCAAGGGGGAGCATAGAAATGTTCTAACAATAATAATCATCATCATCATCTGACTTCTCGGAACATCAGGAGGTTTCTCCTGCTGCTCAGCTGAAATGTGCCACCCTATAATGTAAGCCCATGAGGTGTCCTACAGTTTTAGAGAACAGCGCACCGGTTGCAACCCTGTTCTGTCACAACCTCTTGGGGGCTTGAAGTGTGCAGTCACACCCTGCCTCAGTCTTCCCCTCCAAGGCAAAGCATGACCAGTGCCTTCGATCCTTCCTCACAGGCATTGTTTCTAGTCCCCTGATCACCTTCCGAACGCTTCCCAAGAGGTCTGAGACTTAGTGGTGTCCAGAACTGGATGTGGTATTTGAGGGGAGGTCCGGTCAGCCCAGGAGGGGCTGTTTCCACAAGCTGATGCCCATCGAAGGATGAATTTTTGCACTGTGGAACCCTCTCTAGTTGGACTGGTTCCCTCAGCAATTTAGAACCATCCAGGGGTTCCTCACTCTACTCTACTCAACTCCACTATTCTATGAATCCATGAATTTACGAAAACCTTGCGAAGGTTGTGCCAGACCCCTAGCAGGGAAAAGCTAAATAGGGGGTGTGTGGGGAGGGTGGGGGGAGGGAAATGGGTCAGAACAAGGTGGTCTTCTGGGCTGCCAGGATGGTCTCCACCCTTCCTGTGAGCATGTTCCTTGAGTCCGTGGCCCTCCCTGACACACGACAGGACAGCAATTGTATTTACTTGAATGCGAGCAGGTGCGGGAACAAAATGCCAGCTGCGTCAAGCACCTCCTAGGCTCCCAATTATTCCCCGTTCATTCATGGGCCTGGTTATTGGTGCTAAAAAATGGAACGGAAGAAGATAGACAGGTTAAAACAAGGTCTCTCCTTTGAATTGTTTTTCTTTTTGTTCACAGTTTCTGTTTTTCTTTTGAAAAGGCAAACCAAACTTCGCCCTCTTCGGTTTGGTGCATCTGATACTCCTTCTTCCCATGGGGTGATTCAGGACATACCCGAGACACACAGTTGGCATTGTATTCATGGTAGAGGCCTCTCCCAGTGGCACACGAGGACGGCATCAGCTCAGTTGATGCAAACAAGCCCAAAAGCCCCCCCCCCCCCCCCGTGACAGCCAACCATGGCAGATACACCAGAAAGTCCCTTCCGGACGCAGAATTAGTGGACTGCCGAAGTCTGTAATCCCTTGGCCCTGAAACCAAATACCAGCAGCATGTCACGCCCGTTCTACCACAAGGAGAGTAAAAGGCTTGGGAGTTCTTTCTGGCAAGGATTTTGATCTGATCCTTCGTGCACCTGGGTCAGACCCCAGGCAGGCTGCCAACTCTGCCTCCAACACTGAAGTAACAATAACATCTCCAAATGCACAGAGTTAAAGAAAACTTTGGGGGGTTTCCTAAGGAAAATTCAGAACTGCACAAGGGCATACAATCTTTTTGGAACATGCAGAGAGCTATTATGTCACACCTGGGCCCATGCCTCGTGTGTATGTTTCTTCGAGTCCATTTCATGGCATTTGGAAGACGCCTACACAAAGCAAGAGAAAATCTACAGAGCCAGAAATTTGATATCAGTGGTGCCAACAAGAAACTCCTTCAGCAAGTGGAGATGTTTGCTGCCAGCTCATTTAACTCTTCGCATTCTACTTCTCGTGGTTCCAAGAAGACTCCAGTGGCTAACCTGCAAAAGCAGGTAATCCCCCCCAAATGCTTTCCACTCCCCAAATTCTTACCATATTTTCTTCTGTTCCCTATACGGCATGGACAACTTTGTTTAGAAATCCTATAAGCCAAGGGTAGAGAAGTGGTGGCCGTCCGAAGGTTTGGCCCCAGCAAATACTACCAAAGCTCTCGGGCCAACTTGCAGTATACTGAAACTGAAGCCAAATCACCAGGACTACAGAAACCTGAGCTTAGAGGTGGCAGGGTAGAGAGAAATATATATACCTGTGCTTAGAATATATGCCCGCCTGCCCCTTGAGATCAGCGGGAGAGGCCCTTCTCCGGGAACCCTCTGTGAATGATATTAGGAGGGTGAGCACCCGGAAGAGGGCTTTCTCTGCGGTGGTGCCCCATCTATTATTATTATTATTATTATTATTATTATTATAACATATCTATGGAATGCGCTCCCCAGAGAGGTCCGCCTGGCACCGTCATTATTTGTTTTTCAGTGCCAGGCTAAGACCTTTTTATTTAAAGCTTATTTTAATTGCTAAATTATTGCATTTATTTGGATTTTAAATTAGCTGAGAATGCACCGGGGGGTTTTAAATGTTTTTTTATATATATATACATTTTGTGAGCTGCCCCAAGGCTTTGTTGCGATGGGGGCGGCATAGAAATGTTTTAAATAAAGAAAGAAATAGAAATGTCCGTCACCTCTGGTCTGGTTACTTATAAAATTCCCTTACAAAAGCCGGCTTGTCAAACAAAACAGAACAAGGGATTTTATACAGTCACCCTAGTCCCATTAACCATTCATATCTCCCTCCCACACATACACACACCCACACACACAATACCAGGCAAACTTCCTTTCTGCTAGTTCCCAGGCACCTGGTGTACCCAGGCCTCCTGCCTTTGCAACCGGAAGTAGCGCACCGTCATAAGGACTAGTAGCTGAGGCCAGCCATGTCCTCCAAGAATTTTCGGGTCCCCTTTTAAACCCGCCCAAACCGGGGCTTTCGTTGTATCTTGTGGGGGTGAATTCCACAGTCTAGCTCTGCATGGTGCAAAGAAGTCCCTTCCTTTTGCTTGACCCGAATCTCTGCTATTCCGTGGCAATGGGCCTTTCAGCTTAGCACGCATTATTTTCCACATCTCTATCTTGTGTCCCTTTGCTTCCCTCCTAAGAGAGTCTCTGCTCACTCCCCCCCCCAAAAAAAAATCCACCCCCTTTTCTTCCTAATGCTGAACTGCCACTCTCCTTATCCTTTGGTCAAAGAGAGGAAAATAGTTTAGGAAACTTTAGGAAACTGGAAAGGAGAAAAAGGCTGTAAGTGGCAGCTGCCATTACACTGACGAACCGAGGGAGCAGGGCAGCCAGATGTTACTTGCGATAAACCAGCCCTGCTTCTCAAAGGGCACAGCAATCCTTGCTAAGGGAGGTTTGCAGCTGCAAGCTCCCCTCCAGC